GCTCGCGGGTGCTGGTAGAGCTGTCCTCGGAACGGCCTGAAGAACCGGCGGCGAGGGCGTCGCCGACATCTTTCTTTTCTGCAACCTTACATGTGCAAGACTTGTGGCTTGTTCAGTGAAGTCCAGCATAGTGTCACTGACGTTTATGCAAAACCGGCTTTGAGATGCCTTGAGATGACGAGCGGGGGTGACAAGAAGATGCAATATAGCAACACTTGGCGCTCACACTACAGAAAACCTCTCTCTGGGGAGGGTGTTCCAGCACTCCACTCTGTAGTAGCTACGAGGCTAGTTTCGAGACATAGCCTAGAATTCCATACTTCGAAGGCCTGTCGATTTTGAAGGCTGGAGCCCGTAGGGCGCGAGATCTTAGGGGCTCTAAAGTACTTGCAAAACGGGCGCGCGCGGCATCGGAAGCAGTTTGAGGGCGCGAAGGGAGCTCGCGAGCTGCTTGGAGGCGCTCCGTCGTGCTCCGGAGCTGTTTGGGGAGCGACGCGCGCTTACGCGCGCTTGTTCGGCGCGGAGGGCGTGGGAGCAGCTCGAGGGATGGAGACCGGAGTGTTGGTACGCCAGACGTAACAACTCCGAACCCCGAGTCGCTGGATTGCGGCTCGAAAGTCGCTGGGTTGCGGCGCGTAAGCTGCTGGCGAGTGCTCGTAAGTTGCGAGCAAGTAGCTCGTGAGTTGCGAGCAAGTAGCTCGTAAGCTGCGAGCAAGTAGCTCGTGAGTTGCGAGCAAGTAGCTCGTAAGCTGCGAGCAAGTAGCTCGTGAGTTGCGAGCAAGTAGCTCGTGAGTTGCGAGCAAGTAGCTCGTAAGCTGCTGGTTTGCGGTTCGAAAGTCGCTTGTGCGCGGCTGGCGAGTGCTCGTAAGTTGCCAGCAAGTAGCTCGTGAGTTGCTTGCGAATGCTCGTCAGCTGCTGGCGAGTTGCGCGCCCTTAAAGTTCCTCTAAAACCCGTTTTGCAAAGACTTTAGAGCCCCTAAGATCGTCAGAGCTGCGGGCCGTAGGCCCGCGAATCGACAGTGCTCCAAAGTACCGAATTCTACCCTATGTCTCGAACTGAGGCCTGTAGCTATCACAGAGTGGAGAGCTGGAACACCCTCCCCAGAGAGAGAAAAAAGCTATAAAAGCCCCCGAAAGCTCCATTTGATGCATTTGATGCTTTTGATGCCCTTTCGCCTCGGCCCGGCCCGCAGTGCTTCGCCCGCTTCGATGCCGGGCTGCTCTCATGATGCAGGCAGCGGAAAGCCCGCTTCTCTCAGTGCCTCTCGGTGCTGCTCCGTTGCCCGAGCATAGGCTTGCGGAACGTAAGCAGCGAGCGCCCACATGCTGCCCTCGTGTGGCTCCACCATGTGATACCGGCGGGCGTCGAAGCTCACCGGCTTGTCGTGCATGTCCAGCCACCGCCCCCGCAGCTCCCGCTCCCCTTTCTTGTCGGCCAGCCATGCCGTGGAGTCCCCCTCGTCATCTTCGATCCACACCCGCCCTCCTGTGTACTCGCCCAGAGCAAGTGCGTGATTCGAGTGCCCTGGCATGTTCTGAATCTCCCGGTGCAGCCCCATGCGCGGGTTGAAGTGCCGTTCGGAAAGCGGCTCTTGAGAAAGCTACGGCTGCACAGGCTGCCCGCAGGCCCGTGGCATTGGAGACCCCGACCACGCCGCCGTGCCCGAAAAGCCCCAGGGTGGCATATCGCTCATAGGCCCCCGGCCCCACCGCCCGAGTGCGGCCCCGGTGCTTCCAGTCGGCCGACCACAGATCCAGCAGCCGCACGAGATTGGCTTCGGTCGGCTCCTCCGTGGCGTTCCGGCACGCCGCTTCCATGCTTTTTTATTAAAGCAACACCCACTTTTTCAACGCAGGGTTCAGCGTCGGTCCCACTTGCGCTGAAGGAACTCTTAGCAACACCCACTTTTTCAACGCAGGGCTCAACACAGGTCCCACCTGTGTTCATGGTTTTGATGCTCGGGCGCAGCGATTTCGACATTGCCGGCATTTAGCACAAAAAACGCGCATGGCCCTAAAACACCATGCCGCACCCCAATTTTTCGGGATTTTGAAGCCGCCCGGGGAGGGTGCGCCCCGACGGCCCCCGAGCGCCGCCCGTTTTGCGAGCCGACCACGCACCGGCGAGAGCCCGATTTCGGTGTGTCCCCCGCCTAGCGTTTGAGCACGTCTTCGGCCGGATCGACCCTTTCCTGTCAAATCGGTGCCAGCCAGCCCCGGAACGTGGTCGGGGAGGGTTTAGGATGGGTCGAACACAGCCACACGGAATCGCTGAACATCACGGAACCGCTGCGGCCCCGATCTTCGGGGTGCACCCTGCCTAGGTTTCACACACCCTGCCGGGCCCGCCGGCCAGAAGCGACACAGCCAGCCCCGAGAAGGCCCGCGCGTGGCCCAAAAGGCTTTGCCGGGCCGTTTCACACCAGACTGTGGCGGGAGCGCGATTTCGGTGGGTACGTCCCTAGGTTTGGCTCAAGTTTTCGTGGCCTCGGCCGCTCAGTGTCGATTGGCGGCGAGCCTGTGGCTATCGCCGACCTGATCCGTGGGGGTTTAGGATGCTCACAGATGCTCGCTCGCTTTTGCTCACTGATGCCATTTTGTTTTGTAACAGTATTCTAGTTAGGCCCGCCGACTTTTGCAGTAACATTTTGCTAGAGTGCTTTTGCCGGGGTTGCTTCTTTTTTTGGTTTGGTCTAGGGCACCCGAACCCCCTTCGGCCCCGGAGTAGGCTTGACTCCAGCTGCCCTGCAAGTGCCGCGCAAGTGCCCAGTGAGCGCCTTCTGGTCTTTGTTTTTTTACTTTGTTACCGCGCCGCGGCTTGCAGCGCAGAGCAGTACATGAGGCTATAGGCGACAACATCGGGCAATGGCTGACGAAAGAGCTGTGGCTAAGCGGTCCGAGCAGCTTGCTAACGCTATCCTGCTCAATCGTGATCTCTTCGCGTCCGCTCGAAAGTACACCTCTGAGAACGTAGTCAACCTTGCGACCACTGCAATCGTGAGGGATGTTGCTGAGAAGCACCTGCGGGACGGTCGCCCAGCTCCGTCGGAAGCACGTGGCCTCGAGACCGGCTGGGGGAATTTGGTCGATTGGCTGGGTCTTAACAGGACAGCGGAGGCCATCTTGAAGCGGGCAATCGAACACTCTATGGAACCGAGTCGCAGCGGAGATGATGCCTAGGAAGTCAGCTTGGCGCGGAGCATCGGAAACACAATATATCTGAGTGAGTGCCGAGTGCTTTGTTTTTGTGCGACATGTCTACCTGGTCTACCTGTACTGCCATTACGCAGCGCATTTTTTTTGTTGATCAGGGCTGTTGCGCCGCAGCATTTTGCTTACGCTTTTATCCTGTGGGGTGGCAAGGGCTTCCCCCTTTTGAACCGGGGAAGGCGCACTCCTAACCTCCAGACCCCCATAACTTTTTTGTTCCCTAGCGCCCTTTGTCAGGTACTTGACCTTCCCTTCAATTCGTTGTCTGGGCCTCAGTTTGCAGTTAAGGGTCTGTTCGGATTTTGCGGGTTTCGGTGTTCCTTCGTGCGCGCGCCTCTGTGTGTGTGTGTGTTGCCCTGAAGCCCCCTGCCCCCCACCCGACTCGTCCCGCCAGGTGCCTGGGCCCTCGGGAATCTGAGCGCTTGGGCCTCAGCTTCGCAGGATTTTTAGGGTCGTTGCTTCGGGTTTGTTGGGGTCTCTTTCGGGTTTGTGGCTGTTGGGCTCGTCCGTGCGCGCACAGGAGGGCCCTGCGCTGCCCCTCCCGTAAACTAGAGCGCCTTGCATTCCCGGACCCTCGCTCCGCCCAGGCTGGACCTTCTTCGCGCTGCGCCGATCCTCAGAGTGCTGCCGGGTTTCTTCCGATTTTGGAAGGGTTTAAGGTCTGTGGGGTCGTGTGGCCGAGTGCGCGCAGGAGTTGCTGCCCCCGCCCCGCCCATAACTAGAGTGCCCTGCAGCCCGCCTCGTCCCGGAAACCCCGGGCCCCTCGTCGCTGCTCTCAGGTGTCAACGGCCATCGGCTGCGGCGGCCTCTTCATCTCTCGCCTGGACCCTGGACGTTTGCATCTGAAGCCGCGGCTGAGTGTGAGGGGTTTTGGTTGCCTGCAGGGTAGGTGCACCTCTTTACAAGCAGTTGCCGAAGCCTTTGCTGATTCGAGCCCTTTGGTGTCCGTAGTGCTGCGGTCATGCCATCTGACGTGCAGACGGTCCTCCTCCTCGTGTGGGGCTTATACTGGCCGCACCATCGGCATTTTGTGGAGGATATGGAGCCGCTGCTGAGTACTGGCTGGCATGGCTATCAGCTTTACGAGCAGTGGGCTGACGTCATTTACCGACTCGTGATGCTGAACTTCTTGGAGGCCGATGTCTTGATGCGTGCCCGCATCCAGCTGCAAAGGGCCGGGAGGTTGTACGCGAGCAGATACGCGGTGCGGCTTCGCGATCAATGCAGGATCGCCGCTCAAGTATTGGACCGCGACCCGGACGACCGCCTCGAGGGGTTCCAATGGTTGTGCGAAGCGAGCAACCCTCGCCTGAACGAGAGCTTCTTGCATGCCAGTCGGGTTTCCGCAGCAGCCAGTTTTGTCATCGAGCGCGGCGCTTCTGGGAGGCTGCAGGCTGGAGAGGATGCTCTGTACGATCGGGTCATGCAGGAGACTGAGCGGCTCCGAACCGACGACGACATGGACCCTTTTGATGATATCAATTTCCGCTCTTAAGCCCTGCTTACAGAACAGCAGGCCCTTGGGTGCAAAAAAAGTCCATGCTGGATCCCTGCCCGTAGAGCTCGTGCAAAATAATCTGCAATCCTCGCTCCTTCCTCGCTCTTCCCAGGCCCGGGCCCCTTCCTTCCCTCCCAGGTCCGTCCTCTTCGCTGGTTCGTCGCTGCTTGGCACCGCGTCGCCTGGAGCCGAGAGTTGAAGCCGTGAGGTTCAGTCTTGCTGTTGCCGTGCGAGCGCCCTTCTTAGTGCATTTTGCGCTCAAGTGTTGCTAGTTTTCAGAGCGGTGCGGAGCATGTCGGCGGCTGCGAGGGAAGCGGCCATAACCATGGCGCTGACCCCTACTGTGGAAGGGCAGGACCCCGTTTGGAAGCTGGGCGTCAGGGTGTATCCTCATTTGTCGGTGGCTAAAAGTTATCGGCAAATGATGCTACTGATCCACCCCGACAAGAACGACAGCAGCACCCGGAGCAGCGAGGCCACCAAGGTGCTCTTGGCCGTTTGGGAGAAGTTCGTGTCATGGAATCCGGCCCTGCGGAAAAGTTCGGCGAAGCTCTGTCGTCTGCGCGCCATGAATAGCTTCGAGAAGGATCTTCGTGATGCCCTGCAGAAGGCGGGCCCGGGCCTTTTTGAACGACCCGTTCGTTTTTTTTGCGGCTGCAGGAGGATTCGGGGAGTGGGCCGAGCAGGGGCTCTCCTTCCAGTGCCGAGGCCGGGGGGTCAAACGCATCAAAGGTATCAAATAGATCAAATCCTATCAGGACTCTGATTCAGCACCTCCCGGCGCCGATGCTCCTCCGACCGAGGCCCTGCTTGGGCGTTTGACGCATTTGATGGGTTTGATGCCCCCCGCCAGGCTCCTGCTGGCTCATCGTCTTCGAGCGCTCCGCCGGCATCGCACCACGAGGCCGGCGCCCTTCTTTTACCGGATTTGTCGACGGGTTGCACCTCGCAGGACACTGGCTTCATGGACCACGAGGCGCGGTTCTGCGCCTGGAACCGGGTGCCCGGTTCGTTGTGCTTGCCGTCAGGACCCCGACATGCACGGCGAGAGCCCCTTCGGCTCGGCCCCGGCGGACTTGCACTTCGAAGGCTGCTGGCTTCGTTGGGAGGCCGTGTCCGTGGCGGGGCTTGATCGCGCGCTGGCCTTGGACGGCACGAGGCGTGCGGATGCCTTCGACATGTTTGAGGAGCTCTACTGGCTTCGACAGAGGGCCGTCAGGATCCGCGGCAAGGTGGGCTACGTGCCGGTGCTCGAACGGGAGGGTCAAGGCCCGCCCGGCCTCCGGCCCCGCATCTACTCCGGCATCGGCAAGCTCCCGGCGCTTCCCGAGCAAGACGGCAAGCGCAAGAAGAACCAGGACGAGCTGGAGGCGGCGGTCGCGAAGAGAGACGAGGCGATCTCCAAGCTCCCGAAGGAGCTGCAGCGCGAGCTTGCAGCACATGTTCCGGAGCACTTCGTTGGGCGAAGCGCTTTCAGCTGCGGCAGGCTCACTCGGTGCATGGCCCGCCAAGGCCTCGACGCCCTCGAAATCGACGTCGTCAACAGCTTTTACCAATGGCTGGCGAAAGTCGTCATGGTGGGCGAGGACTGCCCATTCCTTTCGAGTTACGTCCAGGACCGGGAGAGCTGGTTAGCACAGCTCGAAGAGGGGTTTCGAGCGTGCCCGGACTGCCCGAAGCCGGTGCCCCGCTGCGACCTGAAGCGGTTGCTGATCAGCATAGGCTTCGGCGGCAGCTTTGCCAACTGGAGCTCTCGCACCCTGAGCGCGGTCTTCGATGAGACGGACATCCCGGAGGTGGCCCGGATCCATGGCTTGGAGGGCGAGGTTCGCCGAGCGCATCGGCTCATCTGGCGCAACCTGCCCGAGGAGAGCCGTGCTTGGTTGGAAGGGGGCAGTGGGGGCCGCGTCGCTTTCTTTGCCTACGCGGACTGGGAGCGCAAGGTCCTGCAGAGCATGGCGGCCGCTGCCGGCGCATCCTTGCTGGCCTTGGAGCACGATGGCGTGTGCGCTCTTTCGGAGGCCAAGGACCGTGTCTTGCAGGCTGCGGCTGATCTCGGAGTTCGGGTGGCCGCCAAGCCGGTCCCGAATGCCGTCGAGTGTGCTGCCGCTGAACATCCCGACTTCGACTGGAAGCTCGAGGCGAAGCTGCCCTACGGCGACTACCAGAAGCTCCGGCAGCGCTGCAAGGACAACGTGCGCCGAGGCCGAGCTCGGCCCAACAACGGCGACTTCGCCGACCTCCTCGTGGCCATGCTGGAGCCGATCATCTACGTGCCGAACCAGCCGCACGAGAAGACGGACACCTACGAGTACTTTGGGCCGGACTGCGTGTGGGTGGAGGCCAAGAAGGAGCACTTGGGCTACTTGAGTCGGAGCTGTTTGAAGCGGCTCTACGGCAACCGGGAGACCCCGCCCGAGCCCTTGAACGACCTGGGCTTCGCGAACTCCTTGACCCAGGCGGTGCTGGCTGGCCTGAGCGGCCGTCTGCAGAAGCCATTGAACGGCGACCACAGTCGTGGCAAGATACTGCTCGCCGACGGCATCATTGCAGACTTCGAGACCGGCGAAATTCGGCGGGCCCTCCCCCGCGACAGGATGAGCCTGAAAGCGGCTGCCACGTCGAAAAAGTGGAAGCCTCCGATCGACACTGCCTTCTTCGAGCACGTCGAGGCCTTCCTGGAGACGGGCGCCAGCGAGCTGGAGGAGAACGAGGAGGGCCGTCGGGTGATCGCGGACCTGGAGTCTCTCCATCAGCACAGTGGCTGGCTCAGGATGCTCAAGAACTACGGCAGCTGGGACCAAGTCCTTTACCTGCTACGCCTGCACTCCCGGGCCCTCAGTGGGTATGCCCGCATCTGCGAGCTGCTGTGGATGTACGGCTGCGGCAGCAGCGGCAAGGATGTCATCTACCTCCCCCTGATGACGTTCCTGGGGCACGAGAGCTTCAACTACGGGGCGATCCTCCCGGGCCAATTCGTGACGGCTTGCCGGGCTGCCGAGGCCCACGCGGCGACGCCCTTCCAGGATCAGCTCCAGGGCAAGAGGGGGGTCTGGGCTTCCGAGATCCCGGCCCACGACAACCTCAACGAGGGGTTTTTGAAGGGCTACTGCGAGCAAGAAGGTGCTCCGATCGCAGGCAGGGCCTTGAATCGCGGCCCGCGCAGCTGGCGCCCCCAGGGCCTTCTTTTCTGCACTTCGAACCACGCGCCCCGCGTGCAGGACTCCGAGGACGATGGATGGACCCGAAGGGCAAGAGTCTGGGAGACACAGCATCGCTTCGTCGCGAACCCAACGGGCCCTTGCGAGAGAAAGGGGGACGACACTCTGAAGGGCCGGATCCAGAGCGGCGCGTTCAACAGCGAGCTCCTCTACTTCGCCATGGGCCTCTACGGCAGCCTCAAGGAGCGCTACAACCCTGGCACGATGTTGCTGCCCATGCCCGTCGAGATGCGCGACATCCAGGCCGAGCTTGCCAGATCCAACCCACAGCGGACCGCATCGGACTTCGTCGAGAGCTGCTGCGAGATCGTCCAGGTGTACCAAGAAGGCACCCCGTGGTCCACCATCAAGGAGGTCTGCCGCGAGTTCCTGGGCTATGGGCCGAGTGAGACGTCCAAGGTGAACATGGCGTTGACCCGGGCCAACATCAAGCGACATGCGGCCTGCAGCAAGAACATCGCCCTCGGTCCCCGCGGAGCTCTCCGCCTGAAGCCAGAGTTCGCAACCCGGGATCCGTTCGCTCCCATTCTGTAGCTTCTGAATTTAGGCTTGTGCATAGGAGGGGCTGTTGCCGCGGAAGGGACACCGTTCGCAAAAGATCACGTGCCTTCTGCCAGATGGCAGCAGCTACCTCACCCCGCCCGCAGCTATGAAGGCTTTTCCACGGGCTTTTAATCCTTTGCGGTGCTCCCTTCAGGGCAAGAGGCTTTTGGAAGCTGCAGAGGTGTTTCGAGCAGGCGCGAGTTTTCCCCTGCGTGCAGCAGGTACAGTTTCAGGCTCGCGAGCTCCCGCTGTACAGTACAGAACCTCTGGTTGGGAGGTGTTCCCGATGCTCTACATGCACCGAGAACTTAAATACCGGCCGGCTTAGGGCTGTGAAAACCTTCCGCAGTTCCTTTGAGCGCGTTGTGCACGTCACGTTGTTTGAGCTGCTCAGGTCCGGGTGCTGAACGAGGCCTCCCCCCTGCCTTGCCTCGTTGCTCGTAGGATGGCATGCGGCTAAGCCGAGGACCGCAGTTGTTTGCACGTCTTGCTGGGAGAAGTGCTTGCCGGCTCGGCTTCGACTCCATGGCAGGTCCTGACTCTGGACTCGCCCGGCCAGGCCGGGCACTGTCCGTTTTGTCAGGCTGCGTGTCAAGCTTAGCTCGCTTTGACGCCGCGCTTCTGCACTAGTTTTTGCCTCTCGAGCCTGAGCCGAGCCTTCCGCATCATGCCCCTTCAGATGATGGATCGCACCGCGCGCGGCCTTTTCAACAGGCTGGTGAAGCGGCGGCGGGTCGAGGACGGGGCCGACCGGGTGGCGATCAACCTTCCAGATCCTACATGGAAACTGATCCTCGAGTACGTGGATGCTGTGACCGGGGAGCTGGACGAGGCTGCGGCTGGACTAGAGAGCGGTGGACGGCTGGCTACGTGCAGCCGAGGCCTCCGAGAGTGCTTGCGTCACGAGCTTGCGCGCAGGCGTTTCTATGTGGGCGTGCTAACCCAGAGCTTCGTCCGGCGCCGCATCCGGAGCTTGGAGGCCCACCCCCAGTACGTCTTGCGGGGACGTGTCTGGTGGGGATACATCTCCGGGTCCGAGGATGAGGAGCGGAACATGGATATCATGAACATCACATTCCACCGCCTCGCGGGGCGACAAAGGACCCAGCTTGGAAGCACATGCGGATCGAGTCCAAAGAAACCAGGGCTTCCACCAGGCCAGAGTCTTTGTGGACGACGCGGTGCGGGCGCTTCATGCCAGTCCACACGTAGACATCGACTTGGAGCTGCAATACCTGACCATGAAATTCGGGCAAATCTTCCCAATTCCCTAAGGGGGCAGCTCAAGGCAGTGATTGGTGGCACGGCGTACAGGAGCCGAGCCGCTCATCCTAAGCCCCAGCGCGTACAGGCTGGTTTTCTGTCCAAAGGACCCGTGTTGCGTGGCTGACGGGCCGATCCCGAGAGGCCACACTCGGTCCAAGGCCTCGCCGCTGGTGACAAAGTCCTGCCTGCTGCTCTCTGTAGTGCTTGCATCGGCATGTTCTGTGAGCCCGCCCTGGACGCAGGTCGATTCGGCATCTTCTAGGTTGGGAACACGAGAGTGTCAGATCGAGGTTCGAAAGCACAAGCCAGGCAAAGAAAAGGCAAGAAAACAGAGAAAAAAATAACACTAACCCCATGGAGGGCTGTAGATTTGGTGTTCCTGAGACCCGAACCTCCTGGCCCGAACCCCCTAGAACCCTAATCCCTACTGGCTGCCCTGCATCCGCCCTGCGTGTCGTGTGCCCCTCGGAAAGACCCGAACCCCCTGGCCCAAACCCCCTAGAACCCTAATCCCTGCGACGTGCTGCACCCCGTGACGGGGATCAAAGGCATCAAAAGCATCAAAGGTATCGAAGCCGCGCTTTTGGAGCGAACGAACAGCCCGAAATGGCCCATTTGATGTATTTGATGCTTTTGATGCTTTTGGTGGGGGGTCGGGCCGGGAAAGCTCCGTCCGCCTCAATACCTGATGCTCTGGATGCCGGACCGCCCGCGGCGGGGGATCAAAGGCATCAATGGCGTGAAAGGTATCGAAGCCGCCCTTTTTGGCCGAAAAAGTGGCCCGAACTGGCCCATTTGATGCATTTGATGCATTGATGCTTTTGATGGGGGTCTCCCCGGCTGGGCCGGGCAAAAGCTCCAACCGCCTCGATGCCCGGGAGCCTGAACCGGCCATTTGATGGGTCACGGCGGCGCCGTGGGCCCGCGATTAAAATCTCTCAGCTGCCGCGCCGCTAAAGGTACCGGCCTCCGAGTCAGCCGCGCCTTAAGCTCCGCGGAGTTGCGGGGCGCATGCTTCAGCAGGGCTCCGAACCGCCGGTGGCCCGCACCGTCATCGAATCGCTCGGGCAACGGTATCCGCCCGCTTGTCGGGCAGGACCTTCGTGGCCACCTCCCGGGAACACATCCGTCACCACAAGCCCACTTGTTCGCCCCTCGTGTTCTGGGAGAAATCCACCAGGTCCGCTTGCAAGTCGTTCGGCCCCTCCGCCGCGCTCTTGCCCAGACTCCGCGGCTTCGGTGCGAGCCCCTGCCGCGCCACGTCGCTGCGCAATGCCGCCTGGGTCCGCACTCGTGAGGTCGCGTCGCTCGGGAACTCTGGTAGAGCTTCCTGGGGTCCCTGACGTTGAAGTCTCGGGCCAGCCGCCCGAGCAGCTCCATCGCGCCGTCTTCCGCCATTTCTAATCCGAGTCGCCCTTGCTCTTTTTCTTCTCCAGGGCCTCCACTCGCTTCTGTAGCTTCTTGACCACGCCCCACAGGACCACGGAGAGCTTCTGATAGTCGAGGGCCATGAGCTCCCGGCCGTCCAAAGTCTTCGTCTTGCACATCGTCGCGCCCAACTTCCCGCTGGCCTGCACGTCCTGCGCCACGAAGCCTATCTGCTCCTTGCCGCCGTCGATGCGGTCGTAGAGCTGCGGCTCCACGGTGTCGAAGGTTTGCTGGAGCTCCTCCTCCGGGATGGCCCGGACGTTCTCCTTGAGCGCCCGGTCGCTCAGCTTGACGAAGCCATAACCAAAAATGACCTCTCCATCGTTGCTGCCCCCGATGTTGGGCTCGATCGCCAGGTTGGCCAGGCCGTTGGTGGTGTTTAAACTTATGAACTGGAACTGCGCGTTGAGCTCGCAATTGCCGCCGGCCAGCACCTTGAGCTCCGCCACGCCCGCCTGGTTGTTGGTGTCGAGGAGCAGCTTGGCATCTCCCGTGGGCGCGGCGTTGCGCACCACGACTCCCACAGTGCCGTCCGTGGGCCCCACCGCGATTTGCTCCAGCAGCGGGCTGAGCACCTGCACGCCGCTGGTCCCCCCCGACAAGCTCAGGAAGGGCAGGCTGGCCTCGGGGCCCAGCACCCCGTTGATCCGCACGGTGTCGTCCATCAGAATGCCATTGGTGCCGCCCTGGACGGTGAGCCAGGGCGCCGCCGGATCAGAGCGCACCAGGGGCGCCTCGAGCCTGAGGTCGCTCGTGATCTCCTGCGTGGCCGTCACCGAGCTGCTGCTCGCAAAACTCCCCGTGGCTGCGGTGCTGCCGACGAAAAACTGGGCGACGTCCGCCGTGGTTGCATTCAAAGTGCGGTCCGAGCGCACGGTGATGTCTTGCTCCAAGCCGATGCTTCCGGCAGCGAAGGAGGCCACCAATGTGCCGTCTTCGGCGCGGATGGTGGTGGTGCCGTTCCGGATTTGGAGATCGGCTGCAGCGCTCTGCAGCAATGGTGTCTGCACGAAGCTTGTGGCCGTGAGGCTGTTGACGGTGAGGTCCGCCGTGGGGTCCACTCCTGGGCTGTTCTCCAGGTCGGTGACGCGCTGGCCCAACGAATTGAAGTTGGCTATCAATGGGTAGCGGGTGTCAGACTGTCCCTTGCTCCAGCAGTCGCAGCTGATTTGGAGGGTCGACCCATTCCCCAGGATGGGCTGGGCGGAGAGGGGCGATTGGCACAGGAGGTTTCTGATGATGCGAGGGGTGAACTGGGTCTGGACCAAATTGAAGATCCCACCGCCCTCTGCACCGGGGCTGTTGACGAAGTAGCGGGCATCCAAAGGTCCGAGGTCGTTGGTCCTCAGGAAGCGGCCGTCCGCCTCGGCCTTGGTCCAGGAGTCGCAGCGGAGCCGCAGCGTACTTTGATTGCCCAGAATTGCGTCGCCCACCAGGGGCGCCTCCAAAAGCAAATTGCGCACGATCCGCGGAGTGAACTGCTCCTGGACCAAATTGAAGATCTGCCCCGACTCCGCACCGGGAGCCCGCACGAAGTAGCGGAGATCTGCGTCCGCCTGGGTTTGGAAGCCCGCGCCGGCGATGGCATCGTCGATCTCCGTTTGGGTGCGCCCTGACGTCCAGTATTGGGTGAGCGTGGCCGTGAGCAGGGAGTCCAGCTCCGTGCGGGGATAATACGCGAGGAGCTCGTTGGCCACGTAGCTCTGCGTCTGGGCCTGGTCGTAGTAGCCGGAGAGATCCACGTTGCCCAGGGCGTTGGCTATCTCCTGGTCTACCTCCGCCCGCGTGTAGAAGTCCAGCAGAGCAGTTATTATCTTGCTGTCGACGACCCCGCTGGGGTCATAGCTCGACAGGGCCGAGGAAATGCTTGAGCTGACGGAGGCAGACGTCGCGTAGTTGGCCAGCTCTCCCGCCACGAAGCTCGAGACCTCGGCTTGGGTCCAATAAGCCAGCAGGGCCTGGTCGATCAGGAACTGCACCCCCGCAGCGTCCTGGTACTGCCCGACGTTCAGGGCAGCGATGGCATCGGAGATGGCGGTGTTCATCTCCGAAGTGCTGCTGTAAGCTCCCAGGGCATCGGCGATGGCCGTGCCCACCTGCAGCGTCGTGCTGTAGGCGGCCAGGGCGGCCAAGATCTCGTTGCTCACCCAGGCCTCGCTGGCCAGGGGAGCCAGCAGGGCGTCCGTTTCCCCTTTCGAGTAGCTGTCCACGGAGAAGCTGAGGGTCCAGTTGTCGTTGGCCAGCTGGATGCTCAGCGCCCCCGTGCCGTGCAAGTTGCGGATCTGATTGGTCCCGGC